CAAATTCCTCCCTGTACCTCTCCGGACTTGCCAACGATGGATAAGCTTGACTTCTCCGTGCGAGATGTTGAGAGTTTACTCCGGAAGTTGGATAGAAAGTCTACTGTGGGTATTGATGGAATCCCTCGTCCTTTCTTTCTACTTGTGCTGACATTCTTTCACCTCATCGGTAAAAAGTTTTAAATATTAACCTCATTTTTTCTGCATTGTTGTTTTTCTTTCCTAAATGTTACCATCTGATTTTCTCACGAATCGTTAAATTATTGTTTTTTTAGAAGCTGTACAATCAAAGTTTAAACTAAACAACGAAGCATTTAACATTGCTTGGTGTACATTACATGATGTATTATTAAACAAACGTCGGGACACGAAAAAGATTTTATCAAGAGAACAACGTCGCTTAATATCAACACCAGATCTTTCAACAGGAACATCTCCATCAACAGTCTAAAAACGTTGTCTCTCTCCTTCTCTCGTACTAATTTTGTAAATAACAATAATTTTTTTGTAATAATAAATGATAATAATTTGTTTTTTGAATAATCAATAATAATAATTTTTTTTGTACTAATAAATAATAATCTTTTTGTAATAATAAATGATATTAATTTTTTGACTAATAAATAATAATAATAATTTTTTTCAATCACTTGTAAATAATCTGATTTACTATGTAGTTATTAAATAAATGTAATCTCGTAGTCTTGCTGTTTTTCTATTGTTTTGTGCACTGTGTTTTAAAACGTCTGTTCATTTGTCGATTCATTTGCGATTCATTTGTCGTTTCTCTGTTGGAATAAAATTTGTGATAAATGTTTATTGTAAAAGTTTGATTTTTACAAATAATAAAATCATTGGCAGTCGACCTTGGTACCGTTCGTTTAGAAGACGAACTGACAAGCATTTTCTGTTTAATTTCTGTTTTATTTAACTGAATGTTGAATTGTTAGAGATAGGAAAGAACGAAAAAAAATTAACCCTGAACTGAAGAAAACAAATTGTATATCTAAGGGATTAAATTACAACTCATCATCATCAGTTTTACCTAAAAAACTCCTTTTTTTTTATCTTTATTTTTATTATATTATTTCAGAAGTTATGTTTGTAAAAGGCCAAACGAAAGTGAAAAATCAACAAAAACAGCAACATAATAATCGACATATCAACAACAATCAGTTAGTATTGACTATTTATTGTCAAATTGTCTTTAAATTATCATCAGCAAATATTAGACTTTAATAACAGTGTCATAATGGTAATGAACTGTAAAATAAATGAAATAAAAAATGAAATAAGAGTCGTGAAAACACAAATGGCGTAGATGGTGATTTAATAAATTTAAAAATTCTTATATCACGTTATAATATCATGAAATCAATGCAATTTGAAACAAAAATGCTTGTGTACGATATATGCCGAATTATTCAAGATAGAATAATGAATGAGCCGTTGTTATATCGTGGAGATCGTAGGTGTTTCGAAAACAAAATGTCTTCTTCACAATTAATATATCTGAATATATTCTACTTTTAGCATCTGAATATGGTCTATTTATTAACGATAGTTCAAATCCTATAAATAGTATTTGGCTAGATAATGGACGTACATTAAATTATTATTTACTAAAAAATGGTGTATGGATATCAATATTAATTACAAACATTATTTGTATTTATTTTTTTTTGCAGAATATTGTCGAATATCGAAACAAGTATCGTCCACTTAAGATTCGTTTGATGACACAGTTGATTTTTGATTCTGGAACAGATTTGACGGATACTCGAAAAACATCAACACTATTAAAGGTAGACATTCATTTTTCGATCGTGTTTATATTAGATCGTGTTTTTTTATCTCACTTTAGGATCGTTCATTGCAACGAACAGATACAAAGATGGAAGAATTTAGCCTGTGCAACATTAAACAATCGAATAAGATTTCGCTATCGATTATAATTTTTGTGTGTTATTCGTTAGGAAATCTCATACAAGTTATCCTTGACCATGAGAATATGGCTGCCATAACCCAATGATTTATAATTTCAATGATGAACACTTACGATCACCATCACAATTACGGCAACAGAAAAATAAAAAACGAGAATCAGCAGCGATGAATCCTGCTCAACAAAAACGTCCACACCAAGCAACAAAAAAATCGACGTCAAGATGCCTTCCACAATTAATAATAACGGACGATGACGATAGTGATGTAGATCATCCTTCCAAAACGTCTCTCTTCTTCTCTCGTACTAATTTTGTAATCGTACTTCTGCTGTTTTTCTATTGTTTTGTGCACTGTGTTTTAGAGCGTCTGTTAACTATTCATTCATTTCTGTTAGAATAAAATTGGTGTTTATTACGAAAGTTTGATTTCTACAATTAATAAAATCAGTGGGAGTTCAATTACAAGACGAAAGAATGACAGAAAAAGGAAAACGTGATCTCAGCATTTTTAGCGGGTTCCCGCTACAAAAACTAGTATTCTGCGATATCTTGATGGTTCCCGACTGGGATCCCGCACAAGATCCCGGACGGGGTTTTGCGAGATCTCGTCGGGAAATTGCCGGGAATGAAGACATGGGTTATTTCTAAAGCGATCTGAAGAACAGTTTTATATTCAAACCTTTTTGCAGTTTATATCTGTTTTTTTAACTTTTTTAAAGTAGAATTAAATCAAAAAAGTAACTAATTTACAGCGTAAGTATACAGTAGTTTCCGTGAATGAGAGAAAAGGACATATAAATCCTTTCTTTTTTACTGTCTCATACTTGAATTTTATTTTCAGGTATTTTGGATATACAATATTATTTCTTCTTTAATCGATTCCGGTCATCTTCGTGAATCACATTCACCGTATTCGGCACCTGCAATTCTTATTGATAAAAAAGATAAGAGTTACCGTTTAGTAGTTGATTATAAGAAGCTTAATGCTATCACAATTAAAGATGAGTTTCCTCTTCCGAATATGGAAGAAACACTTCAGGAAGTAGGAGGCGGATATTGTTATTTTTCCAAACTCGATTTAAAATCCGGATTCTGGCAATTACCAATAGATGAGAAAGATCGACATAAAACAGCGTTTAAAACTCCATTCGGTCTTTATGAATGGAACGTCTTGGCTCAAGGTCTCAAAAACTCTCCTCCAACATTTCAAAGAGTTTTGTCGAAGTCATCTAGATCAAGTTCTTTCGCGGCTGCACCAAGCCAATTTTCAACTCAACCCATCAAAATGCGCGATAGCTAAAACTGAAATCGATTACCTTGGTCATCGTGTCAATCAGTATGGAATTTCACCATTACCTTTTTGAAGTCATTTTGTATACTTTATCTCGTAGTTTATTTATTCAATCCAAACGTTTCGGTGTTTTATACACCTTCTTCAGTGGATAAATAATTAAGAAAACACAAAATTGAGCGATAAGAAATATAA